CAGTGCTGGTGGTGAATGAGAGTGGTAACAGAAACCACAAATCTTTAAAGTCAAACTGAAGAAGTATGTTATTCTTTTCAAATTCTAGGGAAGCAAAAATTTCAGGAGTTCTTTTGTGTCAAAACTTGGAATAGGAATAGCTCAATGGATAATTTATACATAATACACAATGTGAAAATAACTGCTCATCATTTTCAGAATATGAATGGGTAGATTAAGATAGATAAGAAAATGATATATATATGTGTGCACAAACATTCATATGGAACACATTATATATAAGTTATCAGGATATAGGCTGACATATCAGTATATTTCAGCAGTTCTTTCCATATATATATAGCCTATTAAATAAATATACACTGTCAGATCAAGATCACCAGGCATTTTAAGTCTCCTAAGTCTCCTCTCTGCTTCAAATGAAAATTTTAAAAAATCTTTAAAAGCAACTGATCACAAACTGTTATATCTATTGAATATGTCATTATACTGAAACTCCTTATTAACTAATTCTGAAAGAAATTCATTTAAAAATCCCATAGATTAATACAACGTAATATAAACAACAGTATTTCTCCTTTCAAATAATTTTAAAACTTCTACAATATATTCAGGAAATCTCCAGAATATGAATGGCAGATTTAATTAAACAGAAAAATTTAAAGTACTATATATCTCTTACAATACATGGGAGTCTCAATAATTTGTACTATAATTTGGACCATGACGTGGAAACATACAAAATTCCTTCTCAAAATGTAATGCCCTCAGAAAGCAGTTAAGGTGAATCACTGTCATTCTGTTTTAATATAAATTCTGCTGAGATTTAAGTTTTATTCTAAAGCAATATTATTATACTCTTCCTTGGTTTAGCAATGTTTTTCCTATTCTTTAGGCCACAACAGAAAAAATGAGAGTTACATGGTGAATAACAATCCTCCTCAGAAAGTAGAAATAACCTACACATAGGGTTGCATGTTTTTTAAGTTGGAAAAACAACCAAAAAAATTGAGGGAAAGTTTTCATTCAAATACTTCTATTATAACCAATAGGAAATGTCCTCCTCCCACAAAAACCACTAATGCTACACTGCATTTAAAAAAAAAAAAAATCAAATAAAGCCCTTTTGAGTATTTCTAGTTTACTTTGAGGCAGCTTCAGAATAGCAAACACCTTAATAGTATCTTCATAAAGGATAATTTTTTTCTAAGTTAAAATCCCAACTGTTCTTGTACTTAAAATGTAGAAGTTGCTTTTATAAAACAAAAACAAAACAAAAAAAAACAATAAAATCAGCTTAAAATAAATTTATTGTACAATACAAAATGCAGGTATACTGGAAAATAAAGGTACATTATTAAATATACAAAGCAAATGAAAGAAAGCTAAACAACACAAATGTTTTAATCCAAACACTAAGATAAAATGCACAACATTTATGCTAAAAACAAAGTACTTCAGGAATAATACGCATTTCAAATGAAATGTTAATGATGCCAAAAAATAAAAAGAAAAAAGAAAATCAAATATGCTATATTGTAAATGCTTGAATATCAAGAATCAATAATGGCATAAAACATTAAACCCAATAATACTGGGTACTTTTAAGAACTTTGTTTAAAAAGGTGTTAAGAATACTGAAAGAATCAAAATATGTCCTTAAAACTGGCAAAGTTTTTTTCTTTTTTAAGTTTGAGGGCCTATTCACAATATCTTATCTCTTCTTCCATTTGTAATTTTCTATAAAAATTTCTGGATGCTCATTCTTAACATTTTCTAGACACAGTAGCTTAGATAACAGTACTTCATTTTTAAGTATGCATTTAAGCATTACCAACACAATAATTGTAAGTGCCACAAATTAACCTAATTTTGAAATCTATACAAATATGTACATGATATGAAAACTAAATCTTCATTTTATAAAGTAAAACCAGCTTCTGAACGGAATGGTAAAATGTAACAGTTCAGAACATAGGGGAAACCATAATGCCTTTTTTCCAATTAAGGCATTCGACTGCCTAAACTACAAATGACCCTGGTGCAACTAACACAAATATACAACACAAATATGCAGTAAGGCCTTGAGAAGCATCCAGTTAGGATATGCATCTGAACATTCAAAGAACATTCAAGTGAGCATAAAACCTTCGGGAAAATTCTCTACAACTAATAATATAATTATTTAAATATATAAATTTAATACTTAAGTTAGCCCAAAAGGCTTTTGGCCAGCACTTCCGGGAGGGAACTTCTTTTCTTAATATCATAGTTCCCAAATTCAAGACATTATGATCAAGATTTTCTATATTTGCACTAGTATCTAAAACACCCAGTGAAATCCTTTTTGCTACACTATATTCACTTTTACGGACTTTCCGTTACCACATACATACACCGTCATGCTATTCTACCACCAAGTTTCTCTTCTAATCCCCCACAAAAAAAGTTTAAAAATGAATTGAAAAAAATAAAACAGGTTTCAACAAACTTGAAACTGTATGGGAACTGTGGGGAAAACCAGAGAGGTAGTCCCCTACGTAAGAAGGAAGAAGTGTGAATAGGTCCTACAGAATTTTACAATCACTTTGCCGAGACAACTTTAAACACCATGAATAATTATTTGAAATCAGGTTGTATAAAATCTACAGTTCTCTTAAAAACAAGTTTTGATTCTCAATATTGCATTTTTATTACCAAACAAAAGGATTCAGATCTAACATACTGTAGTAGCATACTTACTACCTGCAGACTAAATTCATTTCCCAGTACTCTAAAGAGTTCAAATAGAACAAACTTCATGAGATGCTATAATTTATCACAAAAGAAATATTAGCAATTATAAAATTATTAGGATAATAAAAATTTAAAAGCTAAAAAACAAAATTTGCCATTCATATTTAAATATAACATAGAAAAAGTTATGTGGATAATATGAAAATAAAATTGTTTAGGTGAACAATTCACTTAAAGACACTCACTGTTTCTCCTTCTGAGTAACTAACCATTATAGCTTTTTATCAATGAAACATCATTATCTCACATCTGAAATTCTTTGGCTGGAATGTTTTAGTAACATAAGACACTCCTGTATATAACAATTCTGACAGAAACAAAGGAGTTGCAAAATAGACAAGGTAGGAGACATATTTTAAAGCATTTGATAAAACTTTAAATAAATTTTTTAAAATGTAAAGCCAATCTATCACTAAAAGTGGCATAAATGTAAATGCAAGCTAATTTTATAATCCACTGCTATTTTAAATAATTTGGGGTTATTTTGTCTTTTTAGTTTTGCATTTAGCATAGAAGTACTTTCTACTGCCACTACAGACATCACGTCAGTTTCAAAAATGGAAAAGAAAAAACAAAATGCAACAAAACTTATGAGTTTAATGTGTGAATTTTAGAACTAAGAATTACAATTTTCTGTTACTATTGTAAAATGGGATTATCTGACTACATAGTTAAAATTTTAATTACATCAAGAAAAATCTAAGAGAATTTTTCCTTTTTGTATTTTTAAAATTAAAGCAAATTTATTTACTTGTAAATACTTTTTAAAAGACCAATAAATTCACTTTTTAATGTATTATCTTTATACAAAGATTAAAAGGAAAAAGAAAGCTTTATAGCTCCAGCACCAAAGGTTGAGAACAAAAAATACCTCAAATAAATATTTATAATTTGCAAAAAAAAAAAAAAAAAAAAAAAAGCTAAAGATGTTTGAAAGATTGAATGAAGAAACATTCTTAAACTAGAACCCATTTCTTTAGCTTTTCTCTCCCAGACTTTCCATTCTATATACTACAGTTGTAGAGATGTCCTCATTTGACTCAGGTGACACTTTTTTCCATACTGTCTCTTTTAAAGCAAGTTCTTGTTGGAGACTTTCATAGTCCAATGGTCCAAAGGAATGCTAGTTGTTCAAGCAACATACATAATTTATTAGTGCACTTGAGTGAAGAAAGGTCCAAGCTATAAAACGGTATTTTTCAATGAACATTATTAAAATCTGTTAACATTTTAAACCACCACCTCTGACATTTTATTCCATGTTATTCAGGTCGACTCACAATATTCTGTTGGTTTTGCATAATTCTTACATAGTAACAGAAGTTAATTTAGTTTAGCACTACAGAAAATGTATTTAAGAGGTATTAAAAATATTTTCTATTTACAAGTGCTTCATATTATCTTGAAGTCTAATTAGGTAATTTTGCTACAAACATTTTCAATATGGTACGAAAAGAAACTGAATCAAAATTCTCAACACAAGTCCCTTGGTACAGTGAAAAACTATATAGACCAAAAAAGTTAAGTCCTGTCTCTCAGTAATACTTCTAAAAAAGTAATATATCTGTAGAATAGTATGAAGCCAAATACACTGGTAACAAAATAGGACCATAAGATTATTAGGCATATTGCATTAAAACATTCTGGAAAAAAAAATTCATCTCAGTGGCTTATAAAACTTATTATGAGGCTTCACATGGTCTCTCACTAATATGATAATCCTTTTACATATCCATCTACACAGTAAGCAAGAAGTTAAAACGAACTTCAATTTAGGACTCTGACAAATACTAAGAGTAAAGCAATGCTTTCTTTTAAACTTTTAAATTAGATTTATAGCATGTTCCAATGTCTTTTTTTTTTTTTTTTTTTTTTTTTTTAGCAGAATCAATTTAAAAAATCTTGCTTAAGATAGTGGAAAACAGGCGGGGAAAACCCTGACACTAGGCTAACCAGTTTCAATTTAAATAATGAAACTGCAATATTTAAGTATCTATATCTATTAAGTGTTTATTAAGCAATATTTAAGTATTTAATACTGGTGATTAAATACTGGATTAAAATGTCAACAATTTGATTTCACTCATTTGTGATTAGCAAAGACCTGAAGTCACTAACAAACTAAGATTTCACTTATACAAGCAAATCTCACTTTTTCTCTCTTAAAAAGTTTACTTAATTATCTAAATAAAAATTTTGCTTACCCTTTGATCACCACCTTCTCTTCGAGGATCAAGTTTTTTTGCAAAGTGTCTCAAATTATCATAGTTATGGAAATTACACAGAGAAACAAGGTCCTGTAAACAGTTACACAGAACAGGTATAAGCAACTGGCTATTCATTGGTTATATATATTCATATTTTAACAAACTATGCTTATATCATCCAGCTTGGAAATCATAACTGCATGCTAATAAAGCAATATAATGCATCAAGAAGATAACTAAAATCAGAGTAAGATGTGGATACAAGCTTTAAGAACATTATTTACTAACATGATCCTAGGGCTCAGACAATCAAATTGTCTAACTTTCATCTTCTACAAAATAAGGTTTATAGACAGCCACATGAACTTCTATCAAATAAGTGTAAAGCAACATTAAAATATAAATAAGTACTCTGGTACAATTTACTATACTTTATATATAATCCAATGTCATACTCTCTAGTCTTTGTAAAAGACTGGAAAATAAAACAATTTTGAGTATGGTATTTAATATGAACTCTGGCCAGAAGCTCAAACATTAGCAGGAACTGGGTAACAACAAAACACAGAACTATCAAGAGCAGTAACACTTTACAAATTTTTTAATTTTTAAAAAATGTTCAGTGCTTATTTCCTCAAAAAAATATTTAAAGGTAGTCAATGGATAAAGGGATAAGGATATTCAACCATGCAGATTAAAGATACAATAAAACAAAACAACTCTTAAGATACATTGTCTTTTAAATTACTTCTCTAAGTTTAACATCTTTTGTTGAGCTTTTAAAAATTGATACTAATTATAACCAGGAAAATTAAAATATTAGCATCAAACAAATGTAATTCTCTGTAGGAGTAATTAAATGGTAGCTGTCTGACAGAGGCAACTTGAAGCTCCTCTATATTTCCATGGCTACCTAGTAGCTGGCACTCTATATGTAGGCAGAAGGCCAAGAGTTAATGAACTATGGAAAATGGGTTAAAAAAAGAATCAGTGGATGGCTCAACTTATATCATTATTTTCATTAAGAAAATATGCTTACGTGACAAAAGTGAATTCCCTTAACACTGTTGCCCATCTTATCCAGAGGAGGAGACCAGCACATCATACCCATAACATTGGGGACAACTAGAAGAATGCCCCCAGCAACTCCGGATTTTGCAGGAAGACCGACCTAAAAATAATTCAGTAAAATAACTATTCAGGTAAACATTTTAAAATAAGAAATGTTATGTTCAACAAGAGAGAAATTGGGGCTGAGTATCATGGCTCACTCCTGTAATTTCAGCACTTTGGGAGGCCAAGGCAGGCAGATCACAATATCAACTCCAGGAGTTGGAGACTAGGCCGGGTAACACAGGGAGATCTCATCTCTTCAAAAATACAAAAAATAACCAGACATGGAGGTGCACACCAGTAGTCAACAGCTACTCTGGAGGCTGAGGTGGGAGGATCACATAACCTCAGGAGGTCAAGGCTACAGTGAACCGTGACTGCACCACTACACTCCAGCCTGCGTGACAGAGTAAGATCCTGTCTCAAAAACAAAACAAAAAACAAACTGGGAAATTGGTTTAAAATTTTTAAATTATAATATATGTCCTTACAGTAGACAGTAAAAATAGATACATTTTTATCAACATATTTATAAATAAAGTTATAAGGCTGGGCCTGATGGTGCACATCTGTAATCCCAGCATTTTGGAAGGCTGAGGTGGGCAGATCACCCAAGGTCAGGAGTTTGAGACCACCCTGGTTAACATGGTGAAACCCCGTCTCCACAAAAAATACAAAAATTAGCCAAGTGTGGCGGCAGGTGCCTGTAATCCCAGCTACTTGGAAGGCTGAGACAAGAGAATCACCTAAACTCAGGAGGTAGAGGTTGCAGTGAGCCGAAATCGCACTACTGCACTCCAGGCTGGGCAACAGAGTGAGACTCATCTCAATAAAAAAAAAAGTTATAAAATAGTTTGAGATAGATTTGAATATAGAAAAATTGTTTAAAGATATACTCTAAGGAATCATAGCAGTTACATCTAAATTGTGGGGCTATGGATGCTTTTACTCTTCCTGATTATATTTTCTAATTGTTCTAAAATAAACATCTTGTTTTTAAATATAACTAATTATTTTTAAAAAGTACTTTACAAATAGAAAATAAAAAGTTACATATTCTTAAAAGATTTTCTAAAATGGTACTTTAAATTAATCCTCCTCAAAAAATTCAAGTTACATTAGCAAAACTTGACAAATGATAAAAAAAAAAATTAATGTCATTAGGGCAGTGTTCATTAATTGCTTGCTAACATTCAGTCAGTAAGCACCTCTGGATAGAAATATACCAATAAAGTACATAAAACTAAACAAAACAAGCAGACAAAAAACACCTGAATTGGATCTTCAAATTTATAGGAAACACAAGAGACAATGGAAAAAAGGTAATCAGCCACGTACAGACTGTGGAAAACTGTATAGACTAAATGACCCAGTTTTTTCAACCAAAAATAAGGAAAAAAAGAGACAGGTCAAAAGAAGACAAATAGATTAAAATAAAAAGGGGAGACACAACTCAATCACAATGTATGCTCATTTGTATCCCAAGTCAAACAAATTATAAAATAATATAATAATTTATAAGATAATCCAGGAAATCTGAAGAGACTAAATATTTTGATGATATTAAATTTAATCTTGATGTTAATAATATTAACGTTTTGATATGTAATATTTAAGTTTTTTTATATATAAAGATGGTATTAGGTTTTGTTAAGGGTCCTTATTTAGAATTACATACTGAACTATGACAAGGATAGGGGAAACATGCACATTCAGATGAAACAAGATTGGTAACGTTTTCAGTTATTGAAGCTGAGTGATGGGTAACATTCAATGTATCTCTCTCTCTCTTTCTCTCTCGCTTTACATGTTTGAAAATTTCCAAAATTAAAAAAAAAAAAACTTTTAGAAGGATATTATGACTTGTCATGAGGAGAATTAAATAAGAAAAGTCTATACACTTTACAAGTGGCAAATGCACAACAGAGCTTAAAGCAGTGCATTTTTGTTAAGTTTTAACTTTAATATACTTTTAGTCCTTAAGACATCTATGGCTAGGCCAGGTGCAGTGGCTCAGGCCTGTAATCCCAGCACTTTGGGAGGCTGTGGTAGGAGGATCATGAGGTCAGGAGTTCAAGACAAGCCTGGCCAACATGGTGAAACCCCACCTCTACTAAAAATGCAAAAGTTAGCTGGGTACGGTGGTAAGTGCCTGTAATTCCAGTTACTTAGGAGGCTAAGGCAGGAGAATTGCTTGAACCAGGACCTGAGAAGGGGAGGTTGCAGTGAGCTGAGATTGCACCACTGCACTCCAGCCTGGGCTACAGAGCGAGATTCCGTCTCAAAAAATAGAAAGAAAAAAACATCTATGGCTGTAATCAAAGATGTGAAACATCACATCTTTGCAATCTTTCTGAACTTAAAGCATTCTTAAGATACATACTCATCATAATGCTAGACATTAGCAACTAAAAGTAAAGAAAGACTATACCAACCTTGTACACTGGAATGCCTTAAAAGCAGAAGGGATGAGGTTCTATAAATTAAACTTCCAAGTTCTTAAAAACATTCGGTAGACTTTAGCTCTTATTCCTTACTAACCTTGTAACAAATTAACCTTGAAAACAATCCTCTCTCTCAAAAATTAATATACAGCTTTAGAAGCAAAGTTCAAACTGCATTTTTAAAAGAACCAGTTCACACTAGTTTCTTGCCAGAGAAAATTAAGATTAAGCAATTACTTACATGGAAAGCAAACTGCCCTGAGAAGTCATACATGCCACAGGAATGCATCAAACTCAACGTATTTCGAACTGCTTCAGGGCTTAGTACTCTTTCACCAGTAATTGGGCAGAAACCACCATTAGCCAGTGTTGCAGCCATCACACTGGCTGATTCACAAGTCACTTCAATGGAGCACAGCTTACAAAAAGAAAAAGCAGAATTCTAAAAACTTTAGGTTCATATTTTTAATACTACTGTTTACTTCTAAGATAATCTATTTTATTTGGTATTTCATATAGATCTGAAATATTTCTTCCAAAGAGATTATTTTAATATAAACTTGATGACATTCTAAAGATTTTAATTGACCAACATTCTACCTCCTTTTAAAGTTTACCCTGATTTGGCTGAAGATATTCAGTCTTTTAATGGCAAAACTAGGCTAGGAATAGCCAGCCCCTAAACACTAAGATTTGTTATTATTCCATGTGATATTCAATTTACTTAAATATTAATACTTTCTGTGGAATACACAAGCATAATTACTTTTAACACAACAGAAAAAAAAGAACCATGAAATATTTTTAAGATAAAGCACCATACATGATGATTATGATAGTGTCTACATGAGAAATCACCGTTTTAGAAGAAAATGCTAAAGTGCCTGACATTTCACCCATAACAAAGCTCAGTAACCCCATTTATATGGTAACAGGCAAAGGACAAAGGAGAAGAAAAATATAAAGCAGATCTGTCTCAGATGCTCTGTAAGCCTAAACCAAAATGTTATCTTTTGGACCATTTATTAATATTTATATGGTATTTACTATGGGTGCTAAATATACCCTTTAGAATAAAATTTGTGTACTTAAATACAGTCAAAATAACAGAAATAGTTCCCCACACCAAACCAAAATTTCCCATAAAATGAAAATAATAAATTTTTCCAAATAGGATGAGATGGGGTCAAAAAAGCAAGTGGAAAGGAGAAGAGTGGGTTTTCAACTTGTAAATTTTCCTCAGCCATACTCCAAGATCTACAAGAGGCACAAGGGGTTTGGAAATAGCAAGGAGGAAAACTACAGTGAATTAGAACACTGTATGTTTAACTTGACTAGATTGCTTATTTATATAAAAAATCTCTTCCCTATTTCTCAAAAACAACAGAATAGACTTAGAATACTGCCCCAGATAGCAAAGACTTATGATAAGGTCGATTTAATCATGCAAGGCTTTCTGAATTCCAATAATCATTTTCTAATTTATACTTAATATTAACTGGAACTGTGTTTGTCATAGGGCAGCACACTCTTAATCTGCCAAAATACTGACTTGAGTACTCTGCTGCTAACCTCAATGGTGGTTCAATTTGATGCAGTCCTTCTTCAAAACAGTCAGTACCACTTCTACAGGTGTCTCTTGATTTTTGCCATCAAGTATAGAAATTTTACATTATAGTAGATTAGCAGCATCTAAGCTATACCAGCCAAATTTAAATATGTATTCTAAAGAAAAAGAAACTTATGGAAAACATTCATACAAACCAGGGAAAAAATAAAGGCTATTGGAGTTAAATGATATGACATAGTTTCAAAGGAATTTCACATGTCATCTCATGTTATCTTCAACATAATTCAGCACGGTAGGTTAGGCATATGCTACAGGTAAGTAAACTAGGGATCAGTAGCTAAAATTAGGTCACATAGCTAATAAGTGGCTGGGCTAGAACTTACATTTTATACTGATGATCTGGATTCCCAATTTATGGTTTTTCACACTGGGCAGGTGACTAACTGCAACCTGGACATCTATTAAAATCTAACTCATTATCAACCTCCCTTATATATTCTCTCAGATTACTGAAAGGTTAAAATTAAAGAACCTTTAAAAGTAAAGAGGGAAATGTAACGTGAACTAGAAATTGGCAATAATGTAGCCTACTATGTAGCTTCACGTTACAGTCCCATCAATAGCACCAACTGTGTTAAATATGTAAGGATAAACTGAAGTGAAAATGTGGGTGAGAGAAGAGATCTCCAGGAAGGCTATTCTAAATTGAGTTCTATAGCATAGCCCATTGTGTGCAGCCTGTTCCCTCTTGCCCAAACTCACCCCCTGAATATTGAGGGCTACTCTACTTAGAAGAAAGCCCAACATCTAACACTGCAGAAATGAACTGGGACCAGATAAGCCAGAATAGAGTAGTAACAAAGAAATTACAAAAGATACCAAGTCAGCTGAGACATTCACACTTTTAAATGCTGAATAAGAGCTCTCTGATTAAAAAATTAATAATAATAGCTTTTCCTAAACAAAATGTAAAAGCTAAGAAAAATTTTGAGCTCAGTTTTTAACCAGGATTGCCAATTTCTGGGAGTGTACATTATTTTTGACAATTCTTAAATATGTTTTCAGAAAAAAATTTTCCTATTACATTTTGAGGCATGAATTTTTAGGCAACATAGACATGAGACTGCCTTTTATGAAGACATTTTTGAAAGTCAATAGAAAATGTATTTCCTCACGGCCTAAAACCAAGATTTCTGAGACATCTGTATTTTGCATAATGTGACACATCCATTTATTTTATTAATTTTTTTTAGGCGAAGTCTCACTCTGTTGCCAGGCTAGAATGCAGTAGCACAATCTCAGCTCACTGCAACCTCCACCTCCCGGGTTCAGGAGATTCTCCTGCCTCAGCCTCCTGAATAGCTGGGATTACAGGTGCGTGCCACCACACCCAGCTTATTTTTGCATTTTTACAAAAACAGGGTGGTGTATTTTTACAAAGACAGGGTTTCACCATGTTGGCCAGGATGGTCTCAATCTATTGACCTCGTGATCCACACACCTCAGCCTCCTAAAGAGCTGGGATTACGGGCATGAGCCACCAAGCTCAGCCGACACATTCATTTATACATACAATTTATATAATTAAATTACCTGGAAGTAGAAGTCTAATATACCAACCATGTCAGTGCCTTCTGGAAAACACTAAAAAAATAGACAGAATATTAAAAATTCAGGCACACAGGAATGCACATAAGAAGAGAAATATAGGAAAATTAAATTTCAAATATATACAAGTGTTTCATTTTAATTAATAAAATACCATGTAACTTTTAAAAGAGTATAAACACAAAATAAAGAATAATAAAGCAAAATTAGATGGCATCATGTAAGTTTCTAGATACTAGTTTAACTGACAATGATAAAATGATTCATGGATTTATAAATCATGTATAGTAATTTCATTTGTATAGTAATATACAAATATACAAAGTCTTTATACTTTGTAAACAAAAATGCTAACTTTAAGTTTCTAGATACTAGCTTAACTGACAATGATAAAATGATTCATGATTTATAAATCAAGTTACTGGACCAGCCACTTAAAAAAAAAAAAAATCAAGGGTAGTTAACACTAACCAGACATTATGCTTTTGAAAAAAATGGAAGAAACCTCAAACAAAATTTACATTAATAAATAAAATTAGTCAAATATTTAAATACTGCCAGATACAAATCCACTTAATAATAACATTAACAATTTATCACTGACTGAAGAGCACTCTGCAAAAACTTCTGCACCTTAAATAGTAATAGGTAGTTGCTTAAAGGCTATTGTTGAATTCTTAGCATATATCTTCATGTATTCAATTAAATAAAAGAATAATTTGAAATAGAAACAAAAATTTTAAAAACCTTCTTTTCTTTTAAGTAATATCCTATTGCAAAATTTCGATCTCCACTTTCTCTTTCAGACTGAAACCTGGAAGAAGAAAAAAAAACATTTGCTCTATGTACTTTCTGTAAAAGTCTGATTGTTCATAATTTCATTTGTATAGTAATATACAGCATAAAGAACAATGAACTAAGATTCAGTACTATAGAGTTCCAATCAATTCTGTCAATAGGCTACTTGAGTAGCTTTGGACAAGTTGTTTAAGTGATAATTCTTTCAATCTTCATTTTCTTGACTGTAAAATTACTAAAATGAACTCAGGCCCTTTCTAGTCTTTATACTTTGTAAACAAAAATGCTAACTTTAAAATTCTCGCCGGGCGCGGTAGCTCAAGCCTGTAATCCCAGCACTTTGGGAGGCCGAGGCGGGTGGATCACAAGGTCAAGAGATCGAGACCATCCTGGTCAACATGGTGAAACTCCGTCTCTACTAAAAATACAAAAAATTAGCTGGGCATGGTGGCACGTGCCTGTAATCCCAGCTACTCAGGAGGCTGAGGCAGGAGAATTGCTTGAACCCAGGAGGCGGAGGTTGCGATGAGCCGAGATCGCGCCATTGCACTCCAGCCTGGGTAACAAGAGTGAAACTCTGTCTCAAAAAAAAAAAAAAAATCTCAAATATTCTACCATTAAAATGTACTGAAAAATTGCAGAATCCTCTAGCTACCCGAAAGTACAGCAAGAGTCCATTTTAACGGACATAATCAGGGAACCTGACATAATCACGGAACTTTCACTGAGAGTGGGAAATACAAAATGGAACTTGCAGGACTCAATGGACTAACAGATTTTAGGCGGAAGCCTAGGCACTGGCAAATTCTACGCAGCATGAACAGTTATAAAAGTATAAAGACAGTGATCCACTGAAGAATGGCAAATATTCTGATATAACTGGGAAAAGCACATGGAGAAGAGTGGCAAAACATCAAACTGACAAAGGAGACTGGGACCAAATTATCAAAACCAATAGATGCCAGATAATGTAATAGCTCCTGACCATCCACAAAACAAAAGCCTGAGGGCTTTCAAACAAGTTACCTAATCATATCTACATTTTAGAAAGATAACTCTGACATCAGTTTGGGAAAGGGGAAAAAGAAGTGATGACTGATCTGTTAAGAAAATACTGTAATGAGAGCGAAAAAAGCCTGCATTTAGGCAGCTGTGATAGGAATAAAAGGAGGGGTATGATCAAACATGCAAGCAGTTGGATAATTTTCCAACCTGATGAGAAAAAGGAGAAACAGTGAGGGTAAATACTGATATAAAGCCTCAATTTCTAACATACCCTGAAAGGATAATACTAGCTGACACAGGGATCGCTAGAGCAAAAACCAGTTTGGAAAGAAAGAGAATTGTGTTTTGATTTAGACAGATTTAACTTGCAGTATATTTGAGAATTATCCTACAAGTCTAAAAGGACTGCTGATACTAGAGGAACTGTGGGTAAAGTTATATCACTGAAATGGACAGCGCCTTCTAATTGCACATTTTAACATTTCAAATTCTTATCAATTTGCCATACTTTTTAAAAAAACATCAACACAGTTTAGATAAAGGACTAAGTAGTCAGCAATTATCATAGTTCTTCAACATTATCTCAGGTGCCTATTATCTGCCAGATAACAGGGATATAGAAATGAACTGAAAGACACAACATTCTATCTAGGTCTTAAGGAAGGCAGAGTGTAATGGTGGTTATGGAGCAAAGAGAGACATGTAGTAAGTTGATAAAATATGATAATAGAAGAGCACAGGAAAGAGGCAAGCTGAGATGCATGGAATACTTCCTGGAAAAGACATTTAAGCTGATGAATTAATGTTGGGAAGGCAGGCAACCTGAAAATGTTTACCCCTGAAATGTGAAGCAGGAAGTGCAAAATAAGAATAAAATAGTATACATGCTAAAACTGCTTATTAATGTTACAATAATGCTTAAGATAATAATGTTTCTAATTACAAGGAAGCAATCAGACAAATGCAAAATGGGAAACATCCATTCAATGGCCTGCTACCTGTTTTTATACAGTTTTTTTTTTAGAACACAGTCTCATATTGTCTATAGCTGCTTTCTACTAAACAGCAGAACTCAGAAGTTACAACACAGACTTTATGGCCCACAGCTTAAAATATTTACAGTCTGGTCCTTCAAAAAAAAAAGTCAGCAAGCCCTAGTCTATGAAACAAGCAGCCTGCACTCTTTAAAAATAAAAGCCATTTAATAAAATTTTTAAAACCAAGGATCGATCTAGAGATGGGGAATTGTTCTAAGTAAAGAGACAAAACAGACATTGTAATAAATACAATATGAGAAACTTGACTTGTTCCTGAATCAAAAAAATAATAATAATTAAAGTTGTAAAAGACACTTGGAGAACAGTTGGGGACATTCATATATTAATTAATGCCCTGATATTTTAAAATCAATGTTAATATTCATACAAGTGTTAATGGTATTGTGGTTATGTAGGAGAATGTCCTTATTCTTAGATTACGTGTGCTTTCTTATTTAAGGGTGAAGTATCATGATGTCTACAACTTAATTTCAAATGGTTTCAGGAAAAAAGAGAGAGAAGTTGAGAAAAAGCAAGTATGACAAAAATATTAGAAAATGTAAGTAAAAGATTCCAGATATTTATTTCGTTCAACTTTTCTGTAGACTTGGAAATTTTAAAATACAAAATTGGGATAAAAATCAAATTCACCTGGAACAGAAATAGAAGAGAGGTAAGACAGGTACTATAAGCAAAGATAAAATCGAATAAGCACCAGTAATTTGAGATAAACCTGCGGTCTCTTCTGATTGTAAAATTACCTATAAGAAATTTGTCAAACTACTTAGAGCATTTTTAAGTGTTTCTGTCATGTAATTTAGAAATCATTCATTTCCCTCTTATAAAAGGAGAGCAGATCAATTCTAAATATACTGTGTGTTTGTATCTTTACATAACAAAACAGTATTTAAAACACTCACGTTGCATTACTGAATCCAACATATTCATTACCCGCCATCTTATTCAAAAACTGCATGACCTATAAACCAAAATTAGGAAATATTAGTAATCAAACAAATATACAGAGAATGTGGCATGAAAACTGAATGACATGTTGCACTTACATAGTCAAATTTCTCAGCATTATTTACTCCTTGCTGCAAAAAAATAAGAGACATAAATACGTTAATATAGGTACCACCAGAGTTAATTTTCAAGCTAATATCAAAATTTCAAACAGCTACCATTAAAATTAATATACTGCATTAGTAATTTTAAATTTAGGGAATAGTTCTAAAGTAATTTAATATTTACATAAACTTTTTTTACATGTTCTTTAATACCCATATGTTGAGAATGCATCAGAATTACAAAGGGAATGCTTTATTTTAAGTATATCTCTACCCAACCCAAAGTTACAGAATTCTAAATACAAGTTACAATGAATTCCCTTATCTTTCCTGACAGCACATATTTGCTAAAATGTGTTATTTATTTAATCTTATATTTTAAAAAACTTAAAATAAAGTTTCACCCTTCGAAAAGAATTAAGTATATATAAAATATGATTTCAATTAAGAACAATCTACTTGTATTTTATTAAATCCTTAAACTAATATTAGAGTTAGAAAAATGAGTTATGCTGCAAAACTAACGTTTATAATTCCAGTATATGTAAACATTCTGGTTACATTTTACTACCATAGAGAAAGCTCTACTCTTAGTAGCTCTCACTTGTTATAATAATACTTGAACTAAAAAAAATTATATTTCACAGTCTCTAAAAAATTAGCTTCTATTGTATTTAGTATTATGCAAATTCAGAGTCTGGAAGATGTATTGTTTCATCATTTCATTTCTGACATGTTATCTATTGCAAATGTCAATAGGAAAAACCTATGTAACGTAGATCAGTTCAAGTAGCCAAATGGTTTCATTTTACCTCGGCGAAGTTTACAAAGCAGTAAGTTGTAGATCTGAAATCAAACGTATTAATTGGTGATATGCACCCAAAAGAAACAATACATCTCTAATTTCTAAAAGAGGCTTAAATTAAAATAATTTGACAACTAAAGTTTTTAAAACATTTTTTTTTACTTTACCCTCAAAAAAATCCAAAACATTATACTTTATTATGGAAGGAAAACCTGTACCAGAGAATTATTTAATTGAATAAAGCCAGGTTCATTAAGCCAGGTTCATTCTTTACAAGAGGATTAGAGTGTGGCTGACAATATGTGAAAACCTACAAATCAACTTATGATGTGCAATCACATATATACAATCAGTAGCTGGAAGGAACACCATACTATTTCATCAAAATTAGGCATTAACAAAACTTCAACAAGATTAAGCATAATTTAGTTACAGCCATATTGTAATCACTATCTACGTATTTTCTCTAAAGTATCCTTTGACATAATTTTTTCTTTCCTTATAATATACCAGAAATCAAAATGTAGAAATGTAACTCCAAAGCTGTTCAATGAAAAATAATTAAAAGAAGAAATTACCAACTTCATTGAACTGTTGCAGTTGTCAAAATATTCCATAGATCCTAATGCTGTAAAATATGTAACAACATTTAAACCACAAAAACCTTCGTAACCTTAGAAAAAAAAACACAAAAAAACAACTCTTTTGGAAACGGATGTCAGCATTTGCATTGGGATGTCATATGGACAATTACTGGTTAAACAATCAATGTAAAATAAACAAGTTACACTGAACTTTCATTCTGTGACCTAAATTGTACCCCACAAAACTTATACAAGTTTTCTTCATTGGGCTGTCATGTTTAATACACAAAAATAAACACCATTCAACTCTAGACTATGGTCACATCATTGGTCTATTTTGTGACTTACTAAATTAAAGCACGATTAAATTTTGCTCTTACATTGTTTTTAAGAAACAACTGGTATCTACCAATGTCTATCATTATACAGTATAACATTTTGGGTAAAGTACTCAAAATGCTCTAGGCAGATTATGTAAATAGAGCAAAACAAAATACAGGCATACCTCATTTTATTGAGCTTCACTTTACTGTGTTTCACGGATACTGCATTTTTTTTTAAATTGAAGGTTTGTGGTAACCGTGCATCAAGTAAGTTTACTGGTACCATTTTTCCAACAGTATGTGCTAATTGTGTGTCTGTGTGTCAAATTTTGGTAATTATTATTATATGTCAGATGATATAAGGCATCTGTGATCAGTCATTTTTCCTCTTACTATTACACTTATTTTGGGGTGCCACAAGCCATGTCCATGTAAGAAGGGAAACTTAACATATAAATGTTGTGTACGTTCTGACTGCTTCACTAATTGTCCACTCCTGTCTCTCTCCCTCTCCTTGAGCCTCCCTGTTCCCTGAAACACAACAATATTGAATGAAAACAGGCCAATTAATAACCCTACAATGGCCTCTAAATGTTCAAGTGAAAGGAAGAGTTGCACATCTCTCACTTTTAAAAAGTTAGAAATGATTATTATTAAGCTTAGTAAGAAAGACATGCTGAAAGCCAAAACAGACCAAAAGTTGAGACTCTTGCACCAGTTAGCCAAGTTGTAAACGCAAAGTTTCCTCTGCATTTCTTGAAGTTCTTGAAGGCAATTTAAAAAGCTACTTCAGCAAACACATGAATGATGGAGAAAGCAAAACAGCATAACTGCTAATATGGAGAAAGTTTGTGTGGTCTGGATAAAAAATAAGTAAGTAAAACTAGCTACAACATTCCCTTAAGCCAAAGCCTAATTCAGAACAAGACTCTAAATCGCTTCAATTCTATGAAGGCTGAGGGAGGTGAGGAAGCTGCAGAAAAGGGTTTGCAGCAAGCAGAGGTTGATTCACGAGGTTTAAGGAAAGAAGCCATCTCTATAACACAAAAGTACAAGGTGAAACAATGGCAAGGGCTGATGCAGAAGGTGCAGCAAGTTATCCAGAGGATCTACCTAACTTCAGTGATGAAGGTGACTACACTAACAACAGATTTTAAATGCAGACAAAACAGCCTTTTATTGAAAGATGACATCTAGGACTTCCATAGTCAAAGAGGAAAAGTTAATGTCTGGTTTCAGAGGACAGCCTGACTTGTTAGGGGCTAAGGCAGCTGGTAACCTTAAGTTGAAGCCAATGCTCATTCATCATTCCAAAAATCCTAGAGTCCTTACAAATTATGCTAAATCCACCCTGCCTGTGCTTACAATAAAGCCTGGATGAGACCACATCTGTTTACCACATTGTTTACTGAATATTTTAAGCCCACTGTTGAAACCTATGGCTCAAAGTTGTTTTTTTTGTTTTTTGTTTTTTGTTTTTAAATACAGATGGAAGTATCACTATATTCCACAGGCTGGTCTTGAACTCCTGGGCTCAAGCAATCCTCTTAGCTCAACCTCCCAAAGTGCTGAGATTACAGGTGTGAGCTGCCATGACCATCTAGAAAATAAAATATTTCTTTCAAAACATTACTGTTCACTAACAGTACACCTGGTCACCCAAGACCTCTGATGGAGACATACAAGGAGCATAATGTTTTCATGCCTGCTAACACAAGATCATTCTGCAGCCCATGGATCAAGGAGTAATTTCAAGTTTCAAATCTTAATATTTAAGAAACACAGTTCATAAGGCTATCGCTGCAATAATAGTGATTTATCTGATGGCTCTGGATAAAGTAAACTGAAAATCTCCTGGAAAAGATTCACCATTCTAAATGTCATTACGAACATTCATTATCATGGAAGGAGGCTGAAATATCAACATTAATGGGAGTTTAAATGAAGTTGATTCCAATCCTCATGGATGACTGAGGGGGATTCAAGTGGAGTAAGTAACTGCACATGTGATGGAAATATCAAGAGAATCAGAAATAAAAGTAGAGCCTGAAGATATGACTGAGTTGCTGCAATCTCATGATAAAACTTGAACGGGTGAGGAGTTGCTTCTCATGGGTGAACAAACAGAGTGATTTCTTGAGATGAAAACTACTTCTGTTAAAGATGCTCTGATCATTGAAATACAACAAAGGATTTAGAATATTCTATAAACTTAGTTCATAAAGCATCAGCAGGGTTTGGGAGGATTTACTCCAATTTTGAAAGAAGTTCTACTTTGAGTAAAATGCTGTTAAATAGCATTGCATGCTACAGAGAAACCTTTCATAAAGGAAGAGTCAATTGATGTGGCAAACTTCACTGTTGTCTTATTTTAAGAAATTGCCATAGCAACTTTCAGCAACCACCACCTTCAGCAACCACCACCTTTAGCAACCACCACCATGATCAGTCAGTAGTCATCAATATCAAGACAAGACCTTCCACCAGCAAAAAGATTAGAACTCACTGAAGGCTCGGATGATCCTTAGCATTTCTTAGCTATAAAATATTTTTTACTTAAGGTATTTACACTGTATTTTTTTAGATGCAATATACCGCACACTTAATATAGCATAAACACAACTTTTGTATGCATTGGTTAAAAAAAATTTTGTATGACTTTCTTTTTTGCAATCTTCACTTTAGTTAGGTGATCTACAATATCTCTGAGGTATGCCTGTATTGAATAATTGCATTGACTGAAAAATGTTTCTCCCCAAAACTTCCCCATTTAAATGTAAAGGCATTTGATTATTGTTTGTTCATATTATCTATCCTGGAAATGGCATTTAACTAAAGTCAATAAAAGATATCTGCCTATGTATCTCTTGGAAAGACTTCATGTACCCCAAAGATAGATGAGATGTAATAATCATTAACATGTCATATTAATTCTCAAAAAGTTACAGTAAAAAGCTTATTTGCAAAGCTCTTAGGAAAAGTACACACATACATATACAAAATAGAGTAAACCACCCCCCCACACAAAGGTAAAACCAAAAATGATTTTAAAAAATCATTATCTTCATCATTATGGAGTAGTAGGGTGAATCGGGTGGAGAAACAGATGTTAACAAAAGTAAAAGCTGGGCATGCATATGTGAGAGCTGGCCATATCACCCTATTTTATGTATGTTTGAACTTTTTCACAATTAAAAAATTAAAGAAAAATATTTATTTGCTAATAATTCCCATACTAATTTGAAAGATTTTCCTTTTGAGTATTTTTCTTTCCCATTTGAAACAGAAATTGATTTTTATCAATTCTTAAAAATT